GGGGCACCATATAAATGGCAGAGCCTGTGCTCTGACCCCAAGCTTCTCTTCCCGTCTGTGTGTCTCATGGAGAGCAAGATGGGGTATGCGAAAACACAAATTCCTAATACAAGAATTTGTATATGGCTAATTAAGTGATCTTATCGCTAGAATGTTTGTTGTTAATTATCTGAATAGTGATTGAACTGGATTGTTTTGCGCAAGAGACATCGTTTCGCCAAGCAACTGGTGACCCACTGTGGGCAGGAATATTATCACAGTGACTTGCATGGCGCAGCTCTGAAGCAGCTTTGGTTGTTAAGAAAACTGCTACGCTTCAAAATATGTAGTGAAGCAGCTCCTGAGACAGAGGCACTGCAAGTGGCGAGACCAAAGTGGTTCTCATGCGATTTGGTAATGCAGAACGACGCTGTCAGATGTTAAAGGTAAGGCCAACAGAATACCATGTCTGGTGTTATTTGGCTAAATGTTTTTTTTAAACAGCAAAAGTTAATGTTATGGGCCACAAGCAAATAAAGATGAAAAGAAATATAATCCAGATGGCCATCTTAGTTTCCCCAAGAACCGTATTTAAATCCCTCAACTGGTATTAGAATCAGACCTATAAAATTTGGAGTTGAAGGGCTAAACAGTTTTTAAATGGGAACAGTGTGTGTATGGGGCTGCTTTTATCAAAACAGTTTATGATCAAATAGTGGGGCTAAATATAATCGCAGCAACTTCTAAAGCCCAAATATTAAAAAGCTGTTGATGAAATCTGACAACTGTCAAATTTTGTGGGCACAGCTTTGCTTAAGGGGTTTTTCAAATCTCAGGTCAGGTCTCCATTTTGATGAAGGACACAAATTTCAGTTTTTGTCCAAGTACACGTGCCTAGTGTGAAGATGTTCAGCTCCCTGGCCTTTGAACATGAGCAGTCAAAATTATCCTAAAAATCACTGTAGGCTCCCACTACTTGGAAGTCCAATAATCCCATTAATAACAAAAAGGTTCCAGTAACTGAGTAGCATGACCCTAAATTAATCCTCTTCAGACTAAAACAGTTTTATAAGAAAGCCAATTAGACCTTTACAACATACACATTCATGTCCTGTAATACATGTTTGAACCTCCATTTTTATCATTCTAAAGCAACAAAGTGAATCTTTTCAATCACACAGTTATGTTAGCAAACCATAGCTCTTTACTGTTATTTGGGCCAATTACAATGATTTACAACAGCAATTCCGTTCATACAGAAGTGGTGCAATTTCTCTCTTCGGACTAGACTTGAAACGATTTGACTAGAAACTGCTTCTCCAACCTTGACCTTGTAATTCCCATTGTGATCCAGCTCATTTTCCATTAATAAGTCAACATCTTCATGCAGTAATCCTAGGGCCTGTTGAGCCCAAAGTGAGAAGGACTTCAAAAGAAAAAAAACAATCTTAGCTTTCATGCTTCTGGATCTGCCAAGCTGATAAAAAAAAAACATCCTTATGGAACAAAAAGAAAACTCGGATACCTTTTCTAACTTCAAAACATTTCTCCAGATTAGTGGTCATTTTGTGAACCTCAATTTAACTGAAGTACAGCACAGAAAGTGTTCCGGAAGTTTTTTAGAAACCGAAGCCATCTACTCTTATTTTAAGATAATACAATGAAGCAAACTGTATAAATCACTCCACAAAACTTCAGTGACCAAAGTCCACAGCAGAGAAGCTGAACTGCCCGCAGGTAACACTGGGAAAAAGCTCTGCTATACAGATATATACTATGGGTTCACCTAATACACCACACAAACCAACATAAATATGAAAAATAAAGAACATGACAGAAAACACAGAATTGCACAGTTTTTGATTATAAAAAGCAACATTAAAGGATTGTACCTGCAACAAATTTCTTATTGCAGAAATCATCTGAAAGATGTAAAGAAACAGGAGAGGTGCAATAGGTTAAGTTTTCGGCCATTTTACAAATACAGGAAACACCCATTGAATCTACAAACAGCTGCGCATCTAAATAGTGGCACCGTATGTCTTAAATGAGCTAAATCACATTTTAGCTACTAATCAAAAGAATGCCTTTCAATAACCATGAAACGGGTATCACAAACAAGTATAATTAAGCAAAATGGATAATATTTAACGTAGTGAACTGGCTTCAAATACCAGATGCCTGTTGTACAACACATTTTGCTAAACTGAGTTTGAGTTTGCTCAGAAAAGCTGATGAATGGAGCAGAAACCGCGCCTGATGAGTAATTCCTGAGGGATCTACCATTCACATATGATTCAAATCTTACAAGGTTTTTAGTTTTGTAGGTTTTTAAAGCTTTCCGTGTCACCATATTTGTGCCGTTCCTTCTGAGGCACAATTCAATTACACAGCCAGGCAGTGGCAGTGAACCAAGTAAGCTGGCTTTTACAGGAACACATCATTATCATCATGTGAGTCCAGTGGGTGGGACAAATCCTAAAACAGGCCGTTGATTGTAGCGGTGAGGCAGCAGGAGGAACAACTCTGCGTGTAAATACGCACATAGCAACTGCACTGCTTTTCCCTCCCAGCAATGGGTATGTAAGACAGAGAACATGGGAACTGGATGCTGTTGCATTGAAAGCAAACCTTCAAAAGGTTCTGAATCACTTGAAAACCCCTGGCCACAGAACCTGCCTTCCATCCTCCGAGCACAGTCATAATGATCCCCACACCTTACCCTCACGAGAGACCAGCTCCTGCCGACATGACATGAGGCCTTTCCAGCAACACGTAGCTGATCAATAAAACTACAATGGAGTTCTATGTCATGGACCAAAGCATTAAAAGGCACATTTTACAAAGCTTTTAAAGAGGTGTTTTCTGTGAGCACTGCACTACAACAGCACTCACTTGTGGCATCCAATTGCAGGTCTCTGCATTAAAGCCTGCATTCCAGATAAAGTTCAAGCTTTAATTCACACGAAAAACACTGTTCATTCTTCACGAAAGTCAGAGCCTTTAAAATACGGATTATTGAGGAAACCGCTTTGCAAACAAAGCCATCAAACCTACCAGATACTTCCTGACGAAAGGGTCTTCAGCTGCATCGTGACTGAAGCGCTCACACGGTCATTTAGAAGCGTTTCCATTCAAAGCTCGTTTTGAAAAGGTTCACGTAATCCAAGCCAGTGATAAAAGTCAGTCTCACAGAATTAAAAATGCTCTCATGGCTTCTGAGGCCATGGCAACTCCACGAGTCTGAACAGAAGTCACAGCGCTAAGAACGAGAACCGCGGTTCATAAACCACACTCTTTCACGGCTTCTTTACTCTTCAAAGGAAACCTCAGGAGGAAACAAATCCTGCTTTGCTCTTTGCTGCAAAGATATAAAAAGGCTGCAATTTCTATTCTCGTGCTGTTATGTGAAGCTCGCAGCAAAGCTCCATAAAAACCTGGAGTGTGCAGAATGTTTAATATCATTCAAATGCCACTGAACAATAGAACTAAATTAAAAGGCACACAGTCTCCTGCACGGTCCTCTCCAATTGCTATACTGAAGGAGAATGGGAAACATTAACAGAATATTCTCCAAATCAAAAGTACACAAGGCGAGATCATGAAGACAGAATGAATGCCCTGTTGCCATCTGTCCAGCCCCAAGATACATTTAAGAAATCAAACAAAAGCTGTTCATCTAAATACACTCATTCCACACTGAAATAACATCTTAGACATACATGAAGGCTGCAGATAAGTACTACACGGATTGTATTGATCATTAACTGCCTTCTTACATATAATGCTCTAGTCATGCCCAGTGTAATAATCAGAAAACTATTCAGTAGTGAAAGAACAGATATACCAGCTGAAAGAAGAGTTAAAAGTTAATATAGAGCTCATGATTTAATGGTCTCAGAAACATTACAAAAAAAGCTTTAAATCTATGCAAATCAGAGGCTTTTATTTTTATTTTTTCTACATTCTACTAGCAAAGGTAATTTTACCTTTTGTTCCCATGATGTAGCTTGTCCACATAATTATGTGACAGATACTGAGACTGATGGTCAAACCTACCTTCATTTACAATGCCTTAAAACGAATCGGAATACTCTCCATTCACTTCTCACAGAGCGTCAACACTCTCAGAAACTTAATAAGGTGACCACACATTTTCAAGACTCTTTTTGTCAAACAAGGTCCTGATGAAACAATGCTTGCCAACAATCACTGGCTGACAGCAGCCTAGTATACCAGGATGTATTTAAAATGCAACAGATTTGGTTCCAATACTCTTCAGCTGTTTTATTAAAACCTCTGAGTATATTTGACAAAGTTAAACAGATGTCTCACTGTCCACTCCTCTATGACTACCACTTGGTACAATATACAGAAGAGCATAAAAAATAATAAACATTTCATCCTCTTCACCCTGTACTGTGTTTTTTAAATACAAAATCTGAACCTGAAGTATCAGACCACCTTTTTTTAGAATCATTGGTTTATGGTTTAATCAACTGTGTTATAACATTTTATTAACTTACGCCAACTTTTGCAGGAAAGGCCAGCCCAAAAAGAACAAAGCAAGCATTTCTATGTGGTGGTGGGTATTGGGATCTCAAGAAACTGGTGAAAGGTAAAACATTTCATCCACAGAATATTTGAAAATATATCTGTGTGTATTACTAGCTCGTTAAGTGTTTTTTATGGAAAACTGTCAAACTTTGAAGCTGTAAAAATGCTATGCATACAGTCTTCAAATGACATCACTGGCTAATCACCTGTGCTTTAAGGCAGAGTAAGATCAATAAAAGGTGGAATTTTACCCAGAAGCTTGCCGTCTCGTACGGAGAATTTAACAAACAAAATAAACTAACATGAAGAGTGGTCGCTATATAATAACACTGTATATCCTTTTACATAAATGAACTGAAGCAGCCCAGCATAAATCTTGGACCTAAGTACAGCATATCAAAGTGAAATTCAACAAGTCTGTTTTAAAAAGCCTGAACGCACTGGCAGAGCAAATAAAAACTCACCTTTCTGCAGCAACCTGACCTCTCCATTTTCCCTTTTAATTTCATTCATCACTTTGTGCTTCTTCTTCTCTTTCTCCTTTTCCTTCTCTTTCTCCTTCTCCTTTTTCTTCTCCTTGTTGTTGTGATCTGTTATAGCAAACACAGATGAAAATGAGCAAAACTGCACTCACAAATAATCACAAACTGTTTTAGATTACAGGGTAAGAGTAAGAGTATTGAGTGTGCTACTGAATTTCTACAAAACACACAATGTACCATGTCAAGCATTTTTCTAAACAAATATTACTCAATACTTTTTAAACAGATACCTGGGACATCCTTTAAGGACCAATACTGAGGTGAGTGATTTGTTAGGCTACCTTTGGCAGCTTCACATATAAGCAGGGTTTTATTTTTATTGTTGTTGTGCATCACTCTGCTCAGAACTCGAACCAAAAGTAAAGATGTGTATTTCTTCACTGGTTTAAGCAAAAACTGCCTTTTGCATTTGTACATTTCCCTATTCTCTAATGCTATGTTCACATTCACCCATCAGCTCCGCAGAGTTAGCTACAGGGTGACAAAGAAGCACAAACAATGCGATTCCCATGTCTTAAACCTAATTTTAAATTACCGTGCTACTTAAGAAACAAGTCATGTAACACAATTCATAATGCCATCCACAACTCAATTTACTGGACCTTCCGTAGTTATAAACTGCTCCTCCTAGCTTGATTTTTTTCCCACAACGGTCATGTAACCATCTCTTTGCCTCTTACAGTCATGACAGAGCACAGTACTCATTGAATGCACACGATTTTAAAAATGAGATAACTGCGTATGCCCGAGCTTGCTCAGCGTGACTGTAACACAAATACTAAGCAGCAGGCACACCACACCTACTACTCAGATTGGGACAGCCACATTAGTCAAAATTAAATTCTAGGACACCCACAAGGACACTACAACCAATCAGACACCAAGAACAGGCACCTCGTGACACAAAGGGATTTTGTCAGCATGCTGTAGCCCGTACTTGTCTTTGCACAAAGTGCAGTTCACAGTCTGGGTTTGGTAACATTACAACACTGCTCAATGCAGCACACTGGTTCAGCTAACTGGATTTATTTTGACACCAGCCTTTTTTTAAATGGTGCTCCTATCATAACACACCAGACCTTAAAACACCACCTCCATTCTGATGCTTGCAACACATACAAGGCTCTATGCGAAGAGGGTTTATCCCGTTATGATTTTTGCAAGAGTGCTTTTCTCTTCAGTCAGCTTAGGGTACTCATACTGTCCTTACGCCAAGCAAAAAAAATTGGCAGAGCATGATAATACAAGCTGTTACTGTACTGCCTACACGTTATCACATTACAAAACGTATTTACAAGCTGCTCCTTTGGTAAAATTCTTATTTGATTTTATAAAACTGTATGAACAAACAAAGCAGTCTGGGCTTAAAGTGCTGAATGGACTATTTTATTTAGAGAACTGACTGGTCTGTTTCCATTGGCTGTAACAGCACTGAACCATTTCTGATACAGCAAGAAAATTACGGCAGAAACACGCAATGGTCAACTATACAAATATAGATTACATTTTATAGATAAGCTGCAAAGGAGGGACAATATTAGAAGGAAATTCTGAACAAATCATTTTAAGTTTATCAAGCAATTATAATGACTTTACATTCCCTAGAAGAGGTATAATTTGCCATATTACAATTTTATAATAAACGTTTGCTTAATTTTGTAGTTTGTCACCATAAGAAATAAAATAGCTATTAGGCATTTTCTTCAACAACAAAAGGTTTAAAGTGCAAAAACAAATTATGGTGACAAAAAATAAATTATGGTATATAACCAGGCATAATTAAACCTTCAGATTCACTAGGAGTATTTAGCAACATAACCAAGAAAAATTCAACCTTTGCTTCTGTTTGGGCATTTGAAAAACATTTCACCACTGGATAAAATTGCATTAGTGCACAGGTGACCGGTTAAGGTTCTTATTTACATAATTCAGTGGTATTATTTTGTCACTCATGGTGCAGAATAACATTCTTCGTTCACAAAAGCACTAAACTGTGACAAGCAAGGACACGGTAGCATATTAGCCATTACATTTACTGACCAGCACAGCACAATCAGACCATCTCTACCGTGTGGTCACAATCAAAAGACAACAGAATTTATCTTCAACTGTTTATAACAAAACTGAATCAATGGATGTTCGCCAACTATGCAAATATGCCATAAGCCAGAGGCTTTTTAAAGCAGCGCGAAGCAGTTGATATTCATCAGACAGGTGTGTATTTACTAATTACAGCCATGGGGCAGGGCTGTCACCAAATAAAGCTCACACATCGACTATTAGGAATGCCATTGTGCTGTCAGGCTCCTTAAAATTGTTTCAGAAATGTGAACTTCTTGAGGAGAAAATATCAAACAGAACAGTAGCAAAATGAGCTAAATATACTTCACCTCCCAGGCTGTTACGCCTGCTGCACCAGCTACTGAGCCCATGGCGCAATGAAAGCTGAGATTTTGATGTCGTGTAACTTTCCAAGATGGACTGCGGACTGTACCGATACCGACACCGGGATTATAAGAGCACTCCTGTGGGATGTGGGCCGACCTCTGCGATCCGAACACCGCAGTTCTAAAAGATGACGCTCGAGATGTCACCCCCACAGGCTGCTGAAGCATTAACAACAGACAACAGCAGATCCCAGCTCCCAGCTCTACGGAGAGATCTGAGGTGTTAAACACACACAAATGATTAGGCTTTCAGGCCAAACACAGCAGTTAGACTGGATCCATCCTAAATAAAGAACACGTACTAACACACCATAAATATTCTATATAACGTAATAAATTGAAGGAGATTTTAAAGATCCTTTCAAATCACACATGAAAACAACAACTTAAATTAGTTAAGGGATCAAGGTGAACAAGATCATTTTCACTCCATACAAATCAGAACTATTCTGCAAAAACTGATCCAAATGAAACACTCGCTATGCTCAGAAGCAAAAAGAGTTGCGAAGAATTATGCTGGTTTAGAAAAGCGGTAGATTTCAATAACCCCTCATCAGAGGAAAATCGCTTCAGAGAAGAATCAAATAAAGTCACGCTGGAGAACAACTTAACGCTAGAGATTTAAGACAGCATCTTGAGTAATGTGACCACATCAAGAAAGTAGGACTGTTACTTCTGCTTAGAGGTTTTACAAATAGAGCAGTACTACACGATCACCCAAAGTTGCTGTTGTGTATAATGAGCTCTGCCCTATTTACAACATAGGATTCAACCAGAATAAGAAATATGGGCCTTCCTATATGAATCAGGGGTGTAAACTGATGTAGCACTTAACACACTTAAAACATTATTAGAAATACTTATCGCAAACATCTGCAATCAAAACAATAAAGACTCTGCATGCTTCTATTGATTATGAATCTACTTTGCAATGATTATTTGAGTTCCACAGTTTAATAAACAACTCAATGTTTAAATGTAATTAAGTACGATTTACTTCTGTAAGCACTGAAAATGTGAGACTGAATGCACAAAAGAGAAAACTAATAACACGTGATTGTATTAAAAGGCTTTCAGCAAACTGCCACACTGGATCTGTGTTTAAACTTAGATCGAAGGTAAATTTAGATACCTGACTGCATTTTGACTTTGATGTGTTACTCTGAAGACATATTTTGGTTCTACATCAAAATATGTCAGAAGTATTAACAAAATTAAATTTTACAGAGGAACACATTGCTAGAATCTGTCCACAAACTAAGACCACAACAACAACACAATTCAAAGTACCAAAACAAGATCTGTATCCATTTTGATCTCGGTTTAGTTTCGACTAACCAAATAATTGCTTAGCTCAAGAGGGATAAATTTACAAGAAAACACAACAACTCGGCTGCTACCCCTCAGGCCCAAGCGCTGGAAACGTCCCTTAAAACTGTACTTCCTTCCCTCTTAACTGAGCCGATGTTTCGCAAATACTGTGTAAATACACTTCGTATTTCGGCAGAACCGAATCCTAAGCAACCGGGACTGTCCACGAGACTGCAGGTTTTTTCCCCCCCTCCCCTCCCGGAGAAGCCGCGCGGGGGACTCAGGCCCGTTACCACGACGGCAGTGGCAGACCGATGACATCACCGCGCTCGTCACCGGGTCTCCTGACGCGGCCCCGAGGTCAGCGGACAGCGGCGAGCGGCCCGGCGGACCTTGGTCTCAAGGGAGGCGTCTCACCCGAGACCCGGGTCGATACCGTGTGAATCAACAAGTCCGTGCTGCGTTTTCTGTTTTGGTCCCCCCTCCCATGCTGCTCATTAAGGGAACTTACGTTTAATGAAATCAACAGAATTCCTCGTGGGCTTCCTAAAGCAGGGGGAGCGTAAGAAAAGTTCAAACGCAATTCGGAGCGGCCCGAGGCTAGCAGCATTATTCCAGTGCGCAATTAGAAAGCCATGTTGCTTCGGCATTATTTTGGGGGCGTGGCGAGAGAGAAAAAAAATGACTTAATGGCGGGTGATTAACACTTATAAAATTAGAAGGTCAGCGTTTCGTATGGACGCACAATGACACGCCAATGGAATGAATTCACAGCGTTCGCTCCTCTGTTCAATCCCAGTTTCCTCCCTTAACGACTGAAAGCGGCATTGTGGAAACCCATCTTCAGCAGCGATAATTAAGCTCCTTTTCGAGTTACAGTTTCGGAAGCTTCATTCTGCTGAACACGTCTGTTTACAGACCGTATCGCACGGAAAGGAGGGGAGAAGTGTGGCGTAGTGCATGTGACGGCTACGGCACGACTCCCATCTTCGTACAACAGCTACACTTCGACCGGAGGCGAGGGACTGGCCGAGCATTCCCTCACACGGCAGGAGCGCTCCGGACCCGGGCTCAGGGCAAGTGCGTCCCCACAGCCTATCGCGAAGAAGCAGCCCAACTCAACCCCCACCCCCCCACCGCAGTGTTCAGCGGGCGCTCAACCATATACAGTTCCGACGGACACGAAGTGCTACTTCCCAGCGGTCGTGACAACTGGCAAAACAAGGGGACGACCAACGCCACCAACGTGCGAGTGTGAGGAAACCACCAGAACCTTTCCGTTTCCTCGTCGGCCTGGCAGCAGACCCCCCCAAAGTAACGGCGATGTAAACAAGCCGGACGGCCCCAGCCTGCGGTCCTCGCACCCGTCCCCCCCGCACTCCCGCGGCGCTGCACCCGACCGCGCTCCGGGACACGCGCCTCTCCCGGCACTCGGCGACCGAGTAGCGAAGTCGCGAGAGCTGCGCTGCGCACCCGCGCGCCGCCAGACCCCCGCAGCCACGCGACCGGAGAGCCCGCAGCCCCGTCAGGCGAAGTGATCGCCGAGTCCAAACTTAGGGAAATGTCAGCTGCGAACTCCCCCACCTTTCTGCACCAACTTCACCTCCCCGTTTTCCTTCTTCATCGCAGCACTGGCGAGGCTGTTATTTTCAGGAGCTGGCTTGTGTTTCTTCTTCTCCTTCTCCCGTTTCTCCCTGGGCTTTTTCGGCTTGCTGGCGGCGGCGATGAAGGCGCCTGCGGGGAACACCTTGTGTAATGGTCCCTGGACCGGCGCTGGGGGGCTGCTCGTCTTGACGGGACTGAAGCTCCATGTTGTCGGGCTGCCATAACTCTGCTTCTGGTGCTGTTTCTCCCCTGCGCCGCCTCCTCCCCCTCCTCCGCCTTCCCCGTTGAGTTTCTTGGGTTTAAGGCTTTTCTCCTCGTTTCGGACTTTCTTGGGCGGCGGGGGGTTGTGGTCCCGGGAGGACGGGAGCCGGCTGTCCGGCGCTGCTTTAGGTTCCTTGGGTTTGGGGAGCGGGTTTTTATCAGACGCGGCGAAGTGAATGAAGCTCACTGACTCCGCCATCTTGGGGCTTTTCTCTATTTACTCTCCCCGTCCGCTGCTGCTGTTTGTGCGAGAGGCAGAGAAGGGGCGGGGCCTCGCGGCCTGTGACGGGCAGAGCGGCTCGGGGGTGGGGCCGGCGCGTGATGGACAGCCGGGGGCCGACTCGTGGGAGGGGCGAGCGGGCGGGGGAGAGCCGGCAGAAAACGCGGGAAAGGTTGCGAAAAAAAAAAAGACCCGCGCTGAAGGAGACTTGACGCCACACAGTGGATGTTTCACTACAAGAGCTGTAAATGCTCATATTTAGCCGGCTCTTCCGCGTATTATGTCACTTCGAAATCTTGGATGTTGTGCTGCCTGGGTACCCTAGCAGACCTGTTATGTCACTGTATGTGGAATGCGTCCAACGCAGGACAAGATTAATAAGCTTATAAAAATAAAGAGCGCTTTTTTATTACATTTATTGAATACAGCGTCTGCTTTATTTAAATGAGCCAAAATTGTTGCAATTTTCAAAACATCGCAATTAATAATTATTAATACGATTTTATCTATGAGTAACTTAAAGTACAAGTACAATAACACACATACAATACACAACAGAAGTAAAATATTAATAAAACAAAAGAAAATTGTCTTAGTGACACTGAGTAAACCTGTTATTCATTCAGTTCCGTGGACAGATAGGACTTGAAGATAGTTTTGAAAGTGTGGACAATCACAGAGCCTCTACAGGCTTTGGGCGATGAGATCTGAAGACGTGGTGCTCCACTCTGAATTTTTACTGGAAGCCGCGCAATTTACAAGGACAAGA